GATAGTAGAACGGAAAAAATCTGCAGATGTTCTGGGTGTGTATAACCTCTTGGTACTTCCCTAGAATGCATGCCTGTACTAGCTAATGCTTTTTCCAATGTGAAGCTGAACGTAGTTTTATTGCAGACATGAGTTAAATCCATAGTCAATGTAAATCACAACTGCGTTGTGTAAGCCAGCGCATTTCTCCTCTCTGCATTCTGAGCACCTGGGCTGTATATATCAACGCTTTGACCAACAGTTTCTGCATTAAAGCAATCGGTGTTATTGCTGCTTCAGTGTGGTATGACAAACACACTGGTGCCGGATCAGAGATAGCCAAGTGACTTCACCTTTCTTGTGATCCCCTTGATCTTCTCCCGCTCGGGGAATGTGCAATGGCCACATGACAACAGCACCAAGGAGATGTGACCTACGTGTTGCCTTGCTGAAGTGCTGGTGGCCACGCCATCCATCTCACGATGGAGAGGGCAGAGCTGCTCAGGAGGAGTGAGGAAAAATCTGGACTTGCCCAAGAGAAGCACGTTTGCTACCGTCATGCTCTGCTGCCTCAGAGGCTCGTGGCCATGTGCAGGAAGGCTTGAATGAAAAAGGCTTGATTTAGTGCAGTTCCTGGGCTAGCTCTGGATGAGCTGTCTTGGGTCGCTGCTGGGTCAGGTGGCATCAGCTCAGTGCTCCCAAGGAGGCAACTCCTGCTGTTGGCCATCTGGCAGTCTGCTTATTGTCTGCAGAGCTGTGCTTATTAAATGTTCATGCCCTGCTAGTGCCAAAAGGGTGAGAGGAGCCATGGACTAGTGTAAGCCACATACCCAGGAGCATGCAATGCATGGCCCAGAACTCTGGGCCCACACTTGCATGATGTGTGTTTGACAATGCATTGTAACACGGGAGAAACACTTGTTTTATTACTGTGACCCTCTTTTTATCCCCTGAATGAACAAGTGGCAATATTGCATACTTCTGCTCTTACATGTGATGGCACTGACTTTTTTTTTTTCTCTCTCGTTTGAAGCTGTGGCTGATGAAGCTGGGTACTATTTCTTCAATGGGAACTATAAAGTTGACAGTCCGAAGAACTTCAACATTGCAGGCACGGTGTTCAAGTACCGCAGGCCCATGGATGTTTATGAGACCGGCATAGAGTATATTGTTGCGCAAGGACCGACAAATCAAGGGTTGAATATAATGGTGTGCTTTGACTTTTCAAGTTTGCAAGGCTGGGGGTGATGGGGAAGGGAAAACCTCTGTTGGATCGAGGAAGGGGTGGGCGTGGGAGCAGAGTCCTGCCATGGTTTCCTAGCTTTTGTGGGCAGCTTGAGGAGGGGAGTGGGAGCAGTGGCTGTGCCCAGTTCCTTGCACAAACCTATTTTATTTGCGTCACTGCTCTTGGATGCAGGCAGGGCTGTGAATAATGAATGTGGGCTTGGTAACCCCTCTCTCTGCAGGGAGAAGATGCCTCAGGCACTGTGGGGGGATTTTTCTTCTAGTCCTTGGCATTTTTATCCAAGTTACCTGGGAGGCAAAGTTTAAAAAAAAAAAAAGACATTGGGCCAGATAGCTTAGAGAAGTGCACAAAACTTAAACCCCAACTCTTTCTTGAAAGCAAACCATCTAAAACTAGGCATATGAAGAAAAGTAATTTAATTTTTCTTCTGGGCAGCCAGCCAGAGCCCAACTCCTGCCATCTTCCATGTAGCCCTGGGCTCCTCTGGAAGGGATGGCTGCTTGGGTGCTTACAAAGCATTGGACCAGTAAAAGATGTTGTAGTGTATCAGCTGTGAGTCCCCATCCCCAGTGGGGATGTCGTAGCTGAAGGGGTGTGTGTGCATGCGCCTCATTCACCGTAAAACCACAAAAAATGGGTTTGCAAGTGATGGTCAGTAACTTCTGAAGTGGCTCTCCCAAGTCTCTGGTTGCTCAGCAGCTTCCCAGTCCCTGAGCTGGGGCTAATCCCCAGGGCAGTGCTGCCAAATAACCCTTGGAAAATCGGGCTGGGCTCCAGTTGTAAGAAGTTGGCAGTACGATGGAAAGCAGATTGGAAACAGCAAAGTAGATGTTCACCAACTGTCAAGTCCAAGATGAATCACAAGCTTTGCGTGCCATATGCTCACTGCATCCGCTAATAGTTTAATTTGTTTGCTAGGTTTGGAATCAAAATGGCAAGAACCCATCCATCACGTTTGAATACACCCTCCTGAGGAAGCCACACTCAAAAAATCTGCAGCCCATCTACTACACCTTCTCTGAGTCAGATAGTGAAGAAAGCAGAGAGTTTGATGGAGAAGTGCCATTGGGTTTTATCCAGCACAATGCAACGTATTTTGGGAAAATCTCCAGGGAAAGGATAGACTTGGAGAACCAGGTGTTTGGAAGGCAGGACACGGAGGAAGATTTAAACTTGAGCAAAGGTCAGGAAACCAATGAGGTCTATGAAAGAGCAGAAACAATTGACTGTGAGCCAAAACTGAAGGGCAAACAACCCCAAGGTAAGGAGGAGACTTGGGCCTCACTGTTCTGCTTCTCAGAGCTCTTGTTGAGAAACGCTCTGTTTCTACCTCTGGTGATTCTGCTGGTTTGTTTTTTGGAAACCTTGGAAAGTTCTTAAAAACGTCTCTGCTCATAAATCCTCTTTGCCCTTCAGGTTCTGGTTTCTGGTGGGTGGGGGGGTGGTCATGGGTAAGGTCTCCCCGCTGGTGCCCTGCCGTGCTTTGCCTCATGCCAAGGACAGGAGGGAGCCCTGGGTGCACAGAGGTCCCCGACACAACATCTTTCATCACCTCCCACCTTTGTCCAGCCCCCAGCAACCTCCTTCCCACTGCAGTCCCTTGGGCATCCCACCACCAAACTGCCTTGAGTGCTTTCCCAGCATGGCTGCGTGGGCTCTGGGGCCAGGAGGACATCTTCCTTTCTGACCTCTGCTATTGCTTGGGGCGGTGCTGGCAGGTACTGAGCTCTCCTCTGGCCCACGTGATAGCAGGATGAGACTCAGAGCTGTACACTGTTCCCAAAGGGGTACGACCCCATAAGATTCCCCCTCCCCAAGACCCCAACTCCTGCCTTTAGCCTCCTGGGTGGCTTCTCAGGCTCCGGCGTGCCCCCGCTGCTCCGGGCTGCTTTCGCCTCCCAGCCTGAATGCATTTTGTGGTTGTCACCTGTTGTTTCCCCCTGTTGGCTCCAATCTAGATTCAAACGTAACCAGATCTACTTACCAGACAGACCATGACAACAGAGACTTCGACCCCAGGTTCACCTCCAGGGAATTCCTTTCGGAGAACGCCATCACAGACAAGCTGCTGGACAAGACCTCAGACTCCAAGGAGTTGGTGCTCAACATGACCATGAACAGCATCTTTGCCCAGGGAGACCCAGTCAACTCTGTGGGGTCACATATTGACAGCCTCTATGTTGACTACGAGGACACTGATGGTATTGTGACCTACACCATTAATAGCACCTACATGGAGCTGAGCAACGGCAAAGCCATCAACACATCTGCAGAGACGCCATTTTCAAATGCCACTGTCACCATGACCAGCCCTCAAGGGAACAGAACCCACAAAGCAAGGTAGGAGACATGTCTTTAACTATAGTCAATCCTATTTGTTGCTGTTCTTGACTCATAATAGCCCTGTACTCAATGCAGACCCCATTGCATGGTTTCTATCTGCTTTGGAAGTCAGAAGGTAAGTGGGGGTAGGATGATGTATGTGAAAGCTTTCTGTCGGGGGTTCATTTGGAAGGAAGGGCCAGAGGTTTGGGAGCAGAAAGTCAAGAGAGCATTTAAGCAAGAGGAAAACTCACTGCCCTCCTTGGCGCGGATGTTGGCAAGCCCATGCTGATGGCTGTCAGCTTGTGCATTGTGCTCTGCCTGTCATAGCTCATTATCGGAGCTGTGGCCATAAAGAAGCTTCTTCCTTTTGTCATCTCTTGATGCCCTGCTCTGATTCCCCAGGCCCCTTCCTCCGAGTTCTGATGCAGCAGAAGTTGGTCCTGGCCCCTTTTTACCCACCCTGTTGACTGCCACCCACGATCCTCCTCACTTGTGTTGGCAGGAACATGCTTCCAGCAGAAATAGCCTGGGTTTGCTACCTTGATGGATGCAGAAGCAGTGCAATTAGTCACTGCTCTGACAAGAATATCAAAAGCTCTCCAGTGGCAGCTCACTGATTGATATTAGGGCCATCACTTCAGGATTCCTTGAGTGGCTGGTTTGGAGTGGTAGTGTTATAAAATGTAGTGGGAAGGTAAAAAAAGGCTTAACCTATCTTCAGCAGCAGAATTCATCCAGGCAAGGATGGGCTGGGTGAAAGGGAGTCTCAGGATAGTGCTTGTCCACAAGTCTGCGTCTAGGGTCTTTTGGGGTGCCCTGGGGCTCTCTGGGGAGCAGCCACAAATTAAAGCAATCCGTGGATAGCGGGGGTTGAAATCAGGGCCTTGGGAGTCATCCAGGTCCCAGACCCACAACTGTGGGTTTGGGTCCTGCTGTGCACCCCCACGGCTTGTTCGGGGCCCATGGCACCTAAGCCTCCCCTGTGGGTCTCCTTCTGGCTCTGCTGCTTTGACTCTTCTGTCTCCCAGTCTTCGCCACCAGTAAAACATGGATTATGATGCTGAGCTTCAGAAGATATAAAGCACTGAGCAGATGCTCTCTGGTTATAGTTAGCTGTATTTACCCAGAACTTACACTAGCTTATGCTAAAGCAACTTATGCTAAAGAAAATGTCCATGCAGCCAAATGTATCAACAAACTTCTTAATGATAAGAACATTAAAACATTGCCAAGGGCTTGAGTCTATCGTCTCTTCTTGTGGCTTGGCTTGGCAACTTTGCCTTCGGCTGCCAAAGCAGGCATTTCATTAGCACTCTGACAGGCGAGGGCAGGGCCGGCAGCTCCTCTGCCTGACCGTGCCTTGGGGGCGAGGAAGGGGGCTGCCCTGCCCCTTGGGGCTCGCCTGGTCCCCACCACGCTCCCTGGGTGGCCTTGCCTGGCACCCTGTACCCACACCTCTCTCCCAGTACCTGTTCAAAGGGTCTAACGCTTTCTTACCTCCTGGGAATACGGGGACCTTTACATGCTTTAAACTTCAGAGCAGCTTGGCTATTACAGGATAATCACAAAAGACTGTCAGTGGCTCCACTGCAGGTTTTTTGTGGTATTAAAAAGCCCCTTGCACTATCCCTGGCTGCCCCTCTATTGAAGACGCAGGGCAGGGATTTAAACCCCTTCAGGAAGGATGCCCAGCATTGCCTTTGTTTTTTCCCCCCCACATTCTTCCCTTGGTTGTTCTATAGTGTTCCCTCTTATTCCCCCCACTCTAGAATAAAATATGAACTTTTCAGGTCTAAATGTTAATAACTAAAAAAAGGTGTTTAGTTCAAGTTTTGCCCTAGCCAAAAGGCTGCGTCCAGGCCCAGCTGGGGCTGTAGTCTGGGCTGAGAGATGCTCAGCTCCTCCCTGGCTCTGGCAGGCTGGGCTCAAGGGGCCGTGGAGGGTGGCTAAAAGGCCAGTGGAGGCAGGCGTGGGGCAGCTGGGGCGCAGGAAACATGCTGTTTGGAGGCATGTCATTTCATTTAAAAAAAAAAATAGTGGAGGGGAAAGGCAACAAAACAACCTGCACCTCATTTCAAGGGGCTTCACCCACTGCATGGAGGCATTGCTCTCCACCCCGGCAGTTCAGAAAATCCCATAATGTCATTGACAGTTAGAGCGTCTGCATGTGTGGGCACTTGTGGAGGAGGGAGAGACGGGCATGTCTGCGGGCTCGGGGTCCGGCTGTTCTGCCACCATCGCAGGGATGGGCAATCCTCACTTCCAGGGAATGGGGCAGAAGGGATTGTGGTGGGACAGCCTGCTTGTGCCCAGGCCTTTATTGCTCTCCCAACTTCTTATTTATTACCTCAAGCCTAGTTACAGATTAGTGATTAGTGTTACGATTGCATCTGCTGGGTGGGAATGGATGAGGAGCCCCAGCTCAGCTCACTGAGGCCAGGATTAAAGCTCCTGCTGGCACCCAACACGGCAGGATAAAGCCCATACTGACAGCGGGATGTGGTTTTGGGCTTGGCGTGTCACGGGCAGGGTGCTGGAGCACGAGGCATGTGAAGAGTTTGGGGATTGGACTTGTTCCTCCAGGAGGGAGGGCGGTGGAGGGGACAGCCAGAAGCTGCACTGAAGAAGAGGGCAGTGGGGCAGGGTGGGGGATCTCCATCCTTGGAGATGGGCAAAACTGGACTGTGCAAGGCCCTGTGGGACCCAGTCTGTTATTGGGGTCAGGAGCTTGGACCTGAGACCTCCCAAATCCTTCCCAGGCTCGGTCTGGGATGGACGGTGGCTTTTGGCTCATTTTCATTCCCTGTAAATGAGGAAACAAGGGGGGGGGATCATCTCTGCAGACTGTAACCAGCCAGTCTGTACACCCGGGACAGCGTTGGTTAGAGGTGGGGCATCTTACTTCTTTCTAAACCGTTGCAGTTGTTAGTGTGGATGGAGTTATCAGGTATACAAGCACCTTGCACCAGCGTGGCGTGTTATATTTCCTCCCTGGGAACAAGTCCCGCTGAGATGGGGACGGGTGGGTGGCTCTTGTGCCGTAGTAGGGGTGCTGTGATGCTTCTCCTCCCCTGGAGCAGTTAAAGCCTTTCCGTGGCATGCTGGGGCAGATCCAGGTACCCCTTGTCCTTCACCCTGTGCCCTGCTGCGGTGTGCAGCCAGGGCTGCTCCTGCAATAGGAGTCATGAGTTTCCCCCTTTACTTAAAAATAAAAACTGAAATAAAACACAGAAATGTGAGCTGGATGTTGATCTGTGGTGTTCGTGTGCACATTAGGATCATTCTTCTGCTACGGGGACTGTTTCGGGAAGACAGGCAGCCCAGACCTCAGCTGGGGGTGAGGGACTGATGCTAATTTTCGGTGCAGTTGCTTGCTTGAAAAGCAGAAGCAAAGTGCAGGCAGGGAAGAAAATACTTGACTTTATTATAAAGCTCATCATAAAGAGGAAAAAAAAGAAAAGAGGAAAAACCCACCAGCTTTGTCGGACAGTGTGCTGCTGTTTGCATTTAGAGGAGAACAAAATGACAGTTTTGTCTTTGCTTGAAATGGTGAGAGAGCTAAACACTGCCCTATGACCAAATGTCTGGTTTATCTGGAAAGAACTTGTTACGCATAGAAGCAGCTCTTTACTTAGGATCACATACATTAAAGGGACACTGCTGAAAGATTTTCTGTCCTCAGATGTAGTATAAAGTTTAATTTGAAGCTTATTTTCTCCTTCCAAGGGAGAGGAGTCCCGGTCACAGGATAACTTGGTCTTTATTTGGTGCCTCCAAGAGCAGGGTATAGACCAGAGTATCTAGGTAATACTCTGTTTTCCACGCAAATTAAAGTACAAAACCCAGATGTTGACTCTGTTTTAATGGATCTGACTGAAAACTGTCATCTTGTGAGCCCTCTCCTGGCTGGGTGGCAGCAGGCAGCACACTGACAGCAGCCGGGGCTGAGCCGGAATCAGGGGCTGATGTGGGTCCCCAGGCAGAGCTGTTTTGGCAAGATAAAGCACTATTTATAGTGAGCCGAGGTTGTTATTTTTCTGCAAAAAATAGTCACATTCATTTCAGTTCCATTTCAAACGCAGGAAGCGACCATTTGCCAAACTGACAGAGGCAAAATCAACAGGGAAAATGAGATTGTTGTTGTTTTTAATCCTTCTGGAGGCTCAGTGCTGGCGGTGGAAGGAGGGTGGGTCCAAAAGGAAACGGCTGGATTCTCAACAGTGTCCTTTTAAAGGTTGATTTGATAGACCGGACCTCAACTTTTTCTTACGAACAACTAAATAAGGCAATTTCAGAGCTTCTGCTGCCTAGAAATCATACAAGCTGCATATCTCGCCAGGCCAGAGACAACTGGATGTCAGGATACAACCTTGTACGCTATTTCAGTGTAGCTGTTTCAAGGGTTTGAACAAAGGTATGAGAACAGAATTGAAGCCTTTTGTTGTAAAGGTGCAGTATCCCTGATGTGTTACAACCTTACAGCATATAGGATGCACTGAACTGGGAGAAGCTGTTATTCTTGCTTTGACGAATGCTTTTTCGTACACCAGGCTGACTCCGTTACTCCTTTCCCGATGGCATTACGTGTTTGAGCACAGCGTGGATGTGAGAGATGCAAATTACCTATCTAAAATAAACCAAAACAAAACAAGAGTGGCAAAAGCAGCGGGTAGGCAAATGGCATGCCTTGGTGTTTAAAAGCAACGTGTGCTTTGAGAAGCGAGCTTATAAACTCCTGTGCCACGTGTAGGCTTTCGGAAGGAGTGAGCTGCTGAGATTTGAGCAGCCGAAAGCTCTGCCGCGTTGAGCAGCACGAGTCGGCGTGCCCGGCCCTGGAGATGCAGGGGAGGAGATACTGCACCTTTAGTCGCTGTATGCCGAGGGCCAGGTGTATTTGAGCAGAAAATGCAAACTTTGTTAAATTCTGAATTGTTTCTTCTTGTGGGTATTTTTATCCCATTCTCTCTATTTCTAGACAGTGGAAGCTCTGCCTCTAACCGGGCTGGGGATTCTACTTGGGGCTCAGGACAGGTATGTTGTGAAACAAAACAAACCAATTAAAACAAACAAACAAACCCCAAAAAATCAGAAAAACCAAACCCAACCGCCAAACAAAGCAAATCCCCTCCCAAACCCGAACCCAACCGAACTGCAGCCTGCTGGCAGATGTGTGTGTCTGACGTGGCCTATCACCGCTCGCCTTGTAAATGCCTTGTTTTGTTTTGTTTTGTTTTTTGTTTTCTCGTTTGCTTATCGCTAGAAACAGATTGAAGTTGTTAAGAAAGGGCCAAGGTGTGAGTGCTGCTGACATGTACAGGTGGAAGCTTTCCTCCCATGAACCCTGCAGCTCTACATGTACCACAGGTAGTTATAAGAAGCAGCCAAATTCTGCACAACCGCTGAAATCACCTGGTGTGTGAGTCACTTTTATGTCTGTTAGGGATGGGAAGGACCTGGTGATGTGTAGGGGATCTCGCGATCTCTGGAGCTGGTTTAGCGCAACCCCGAATCCGCTCCACCCGGGTGCAAACACGGGGAGAGGAGCTGGGGTGCACGGCGTGCAAAGCCCACCAACCTTGCGGGCACGTCAGGGGCCGGGCGTTGGTGCCCAGCGGGTCGAGTCCAAAACACTCTCCCTGGGGGAGCTCTGAACGTCGCCTTCGCTTTCCAGCCCAGCGGGGACGCGCTGGGGCTTGGCAGGATCCCCAAACCTGTGCTGAGTCTCAGCGTATTGCCTCTTTTTTTTCTTCTTTTTTTTTTTTTCTCCTTCCTTCCATTTTTGACCATTCAGAGGGGTTTGAAAAGCTCAGCTGCTTCCCCACAGAGCGAAATTTTGAAGATTGTTCAGCTCTGGCAGGAAACAAAGTAGCATTTGGCTTTTTGATTTTTGTTTTGTTTCTCCCACTCCTTCTACCCTGGAGCCTGATCTCGGCTGCGAGGGTGTAAATCTGGAACAGCGACGTATAGATGCCAGGGATATCAAAACCGAGCGTGTGTTCTTTTTGCATAAATTCCCCCTTTTTGCACCCCCCGAAAAGCTTCAAGCCACCTGATCTCTCTCCTCCTTTACTCCTTGGTCAGGGGGTCCTGGCCTCCATGAGCCCATCACTTGTGATGAAGCAGGCGTGTGGGTTGTGCACTCGCTTGCACCCCTCCCCAACGGCACCATCCCTGAAATAATCCAGATCCTATGGTGCTTCTGGAATTAGAAAGAAGGAGAAAAGGGGGAGAGAGGAGATTGCAATCTAAGGGACATCTCTTAAAAGAGCAAATGCAAGGATTTTACTTTTTAAGCATTTGTTCTTGTCCAGCAGACGCATACCGCAGCGTGCTGGCAGCAGGAGCTTCGCAAGCCGTCCCTTTCCCCGGGATCTCGTCAGCCACGTGTTCTGGGACATTTTTAACTTCTTTGATCCCCTCTGAACAAATTTCCCCCTTGACCGTGCCAGGCTGCTCTGCCCTGGTTTGCAGCTAGCAGAGAGAGGTTTTACTTAAATTTCTCCTTTCTCTTTGCCTTTTCTTAATGACATATCGCAGAGAAGCAATACCATGTCAAGAGCTGTAGATCTTTTTTAGTTTCATGTAAACCATATGTTCCCGAGAGCTGCAATTCTTGTTACCTGTAGCCAGAGCAGCCTCCTGGTCCCCAGCCAGGTCCCAGAATGGACTTCACAACATTTACTCTGGCACGGCAGGCTGCGGGGGAAAAGGTCTCGGTCTGGTGACACTGGCTGCCTGTGCTTTCGGCAGGGGAGCAAGAGGGACAGGTGCCTCCTTGCAAAAACCCCTGGGAGCCCTTCCTTGGCCTGGAGTGCTGGGTGCACCTGGGGGGCACCCGGGTACAAACGGGGTGTAATGCCTATAGAGAGAGTGGGTGGATGGAGTGGGTTGGGGACTATTTTCTGTCACCTCCACCCACGAGCCCGGCAGGGTGGGAGCTGATGGCTACGAGGCAGAGGGAGCTGCCCAGCAGACTCGTTGCCCCAAGCATTTCCTATAAAAATGTGTTAGTCATATATTGATCTTGGTGGCAAGCCCTGGCAGGGGTGGCCGTGCCCGCCTTTGGAGCTGGCCAAACTCAGGCACGAAGTCCGTGTTGGCTGGGTGGCCGCCGCGGTCCTCCTCTCCCGGCAACATCTGCCCTCCAGGCCAGAAAGTCTGACCCCCCCCCCCCCAAAAAAAAAAGAAAGAAAAAAGAGAAGAGTTTGGATGTCAAAATCACCAAGCGTCCTCTGTTGTGTGTATGTATTCTCTTTGAAACTAGGAGTGATGTCCACATATGCTATGTGTGTTCGCTATGATGGGATCGAAGTGGATGATACGTACTGTGATGCCATGACCCGTCCCGAGCCCGTCCATGAGTTCTGTGCTGGGAGAGAGTGCCAGCCAAGGTACCACCTCGACAGGGCGCTCCTGGGCGGCTCCGCGCTTCCTCTGCCGTGGATGTATTTGGGGGAGGGGGTCGGCATGGATTTGTTGGGGGGAGGCGGGGGGGGGGGGCAGCAGGGGTGGCCCGGGGCACCCCCCGCCCTC